ACAGTCCACTGTGGCCTAAATAAGCTAAACCCCCCTCCCTTACCTTATTTAGGCCATATGTGGCCTAAATAAGCACTCCCTTATAAAATTCTGTACTACTAACTACATTAAATACTACTAAGATATAACAAAGACAATCACCTGTACAGGTGACCACTTCCCCTTTCCTCCCTTTTGTAGTTTTTACTTTCTAATAACACTGAGTGAGATAGCCACCTATCTAATACAGCCACTTTTCTACTTGACAATGGGTAGCTGTAGCTCTTTAGTTTTAGTTTGAGTATGCATTTTACAGCACTTGCAATACAGTTATGTCATATGAGTGCTGAAGATTAGAGGTGTTACAAGAGAGTAACATACATGGAAAAGGACAAGGGATAAGGATGATAACTGGTTGACAGGAAAGAAGGAGCAAACCACACCAGAGCACCTGCCAACCACTCATGCTCTGTCTCTGGGTTTAGGGAACCTCACATCACCATGGTAACGTTGGTGACCTAGTGGTTAGGCTACAGGACTCGTAATCGTGACTTTGCGGGTTCGGTGGTTCGAGCTGTGGGCCCGACGTTGTGTCCTTGGGAAAGGCACTTTACACAAATTTTCCTCACTTCATTCAGGTGGGAATGGGTACCCGGCCATGGACAGCGAAAGACCTTGTCAGTATGTTAATGTTTTAGCGTCTATAAATGGCTGCTTGCACTGTATACTTCCCAGGAAGTTGAGTTTGTTTCAGAATGCTCTCAGGTCTGCTGGGGTAATAGTATAGATTGTGAAGCGCATAGAGCTTGCTGTCGAGCGGGGATTTGCACTATACAAATGCTGTCTGTTATGGTGATGGTTTATTCTTTTTCTTCTCCTCTCAGGTCCCAGCCATGTGACCATCTTCATCTCGGAACTTCCCAAGGTCAAGGTGACAGAGTGGACGTTCGGTGAGAAGGTCCCGGTGGAGGTGCATACAATCCCGCCCATCCATGGCCCCACCTTCTTCATCTACTATTCCCATGCCGGCCCGCCCAACACCACCTGGCACTTTTCGCTAGATGTGCAGGTCAGATTTTCAGTAGTTTTTGTTGGGATTTGTTATTTTTTGGTTTGGGTTTTTTTTTGGTGGTTTTTGTGTGTATGGGGAGAGGGGTGGGGGTTTGACTGCTTCTTCTTGGTCAAAAGTTAAGTTACTTGCCTCCCGCACTGAAGACCCTGGTTTGAATCCTTGTTCAAGGTGCAGGCGTAGTTGGGGGGAAAGTTGATTCTTTTTCAAGTTCTTCACATCCCTGGTCTTGGCGAAAATTGAAACGGAGGTCAGATTTGTAGAATTTCAACTGATGCCATTATATTCAAGTTTAGCGTGTCTATTATCAATTCATACATATCAATCGCAAAAGTCAACATATGAATTTTTGATGTACCTACGTCCAAGGGGTAAGAATTGAGAAGTAACTCATTTTCTCGAGATGTCTCACAATTTTCTGATGGCCTACTTGTTGGAAGAATGGTCTTGCACAGTGTTTGACAGTATGATCAATTTCTGTATAAATAACAGCATGGGCCAGGAACACAAGACAACAAGAAAGGAAAAAAAATTAAATTGATAAATGCGGAAAACATGCAAAATTTCAACATCTACATTCCCGTACTTGGATGATTGTACATAACAGCTTGCACAAAAAAAATTAATTAATTCCATCTTTTTGGACATTAAACATCCCTTGTTCCCTCAAATAAAAATATCAGTCAGAAGTAAAAGACCCAGGCTTCTGGTCTGTAACAAAGAAAGATACAGAAGGTCATTCTTACCATCATCCATCAAAATTCTTCCATCTTAACCATCTTGTTTTAAGTGTTCATATGACCTTAGAGCATACATCAGAATACCACAGAGTTACAATCAGAATACTTAGTATGTATCTAACTCAACATTATTATTGTTGTTATTACTGTTCATTTATAATATACATGTGACTGTGAGCCTGTTTGTGAGTGCAAGCATGCTGCGTGTGTGAGCATGTGTGTGTGTGAGCATGTTTGTGTGTGTGTGTGTGTGTGTGTGTGTGTGTGTGTGTGTGGTGAAACACCAGATCAATATGCCAGGATCTGGACAATAAAGATGTATCTTATCTGATCTTTTCTAATCTTTTCCTATCCTACGCTGTTGCAGGTCAAGCCTGAGAAAGATCTGAACAGTCCTCTGATCACCATGGGCTTCGCTGGACATCACCTGCACGGACCCAATCAGGTACGGCCTTGGGTGGTTGGAGGGTGTAGCTTGTAGGTACTACTCTTCTGTATGTTTGTGTCTGGAGTTTTGCATTAAGTTGGCATTCCATATGCCCGAAAAACCGATGCGAACTTCGGGTGCAAATTTCGTACACGAAATTCGCGTGCGATGAAAAAAGAGCCCTCCTTCCATATACCTGAAATTCATATCCATCATCTGACTGAAATCGCGGCACCAGTTCAGTCAGAGCAAGCACTCTACGTTGAAAATGAGAGAATTTTGCTGTTAGAACTCCTGTTCCTACGAAAGCAGGCTTTAAATTGCTTCGTCCAGACTTGATGATGGTCCTTCCTTCATAAGCCTTGCTTTCTTGGGTCGTTTTCTTTTCGAAGCTTCGGTCCTATCACCGACAGCGCTGGCTGATGTGGCTGTGGCACAGACAGCAATCTTAAGTTATAATTAATGTATGTTAGAAGTTATATTCAAGTGCATTTAGAGGGGGGGGGGGGGGTAAGTGAAATGCTATTTTTGTTATTACATGATTTAAACGATAAATGATAGCATAGATATATCTAGATCTAGATTACATAGACTCCCGAAAGTTTCCCACAAGTTTAAAAAAAAGTGGTTGCCATGGAAATGGCAGCCACCTTGAACATAAACACCTCTTTTCAGTCTTAGTTTTAATACTTCTCTTTCGAACCAAGGAAATCAACATTTCGACGTTTTCCCCACTTATCTAGTGCTTCTATGCTGCTTCGTTCCTTTGAAGTAGATTTGGCGGGAAATAAGCCCCGCCCACTTCACCGGATTCGGCCATGCGAAATTCCGGTATATGAATTTACACAATGACAAAAAGATTAGTGCGAAAAAAAATAGTTCGCACGCGAAATTCGCACCCGAAATTTGCATCGGTTTTTCGGGCATATGGAATGTCAGCTTTAGTCTGTTGGTTTTGTAGCCATTCTTTCGAGCTTGGTCTTCTGTTTCTTTGCTACTGAGATGCAAAGGTAAGAACGGATGAGACTCTTTCTCACTGTCTCTCTCTCTCTCTATCTATCTCACTCTCTTTCCCTCTTTTGGTGGATGGTTGAACTGCCGTCTCAGCTCGTGTGCTATCGTCCTTATCCGTCCTTTCTCTTTTCTTTGCATTTAACTCTGTAGTAACACCTGTAAACTCTGGCACGTTTAGGAATCATGACCTATTTGTGTGGTAAGTACTGTAAAACTCTCACTAAAACTAAGCTAAAAGTACACTTGAGACTTTGTGGGTCCTGTCTCCAGAGTGCAGCACAGTAAAAATTGAAATTACATTTGAAATTGTCAAAGATGGCCAACTATTGAAGAGGAGAAAAGTGATTGTCTGAAACAGGTGGATGTCTTGAACACTGTCATCAAGATATAACCCCCCCCCCCCCCCAAAAAAAAAAAGGGATAATAATATTTGATAAGATCTGCTCTGGCAAAGAGGTATTATTACACATTTTCCAAAAAAAAAAAACCGCAAGGGGTGGGAGTGGGAAGTGGTCATTTGTACAGGTGATTGTCTTGGACAAGTTGTCATTACAGCAGGTTCAACTATATCTCTATATTTACCTCTGTATCGAAAGACCTTGTCAGTTTGTAAGTGTTCTAATGTGTGTAATCCACAGCTTGCAAGCTGTTTGTTTCCTGGGAAGCGGAGAATGTTTATGAGTATTCTTGAACCTGCTGGGATAAAAATAACAGTGAGGCCTATAGAGCATACTGTAAAGGGTGGATGTGCGCTATTATTATTAATATTATTATTATTAGCATTATTATTATGTGTGTGTCGTGAGTGTGTTCATCGGTAGCTGTGCGAGTGTAACAAGAGGGTACAGGAACTTCTGGGTGCTACCTCGTTTTCATTGTTGTCGTTTTTTTTGTACACTTTCTTGATGAGTAACGTATGTTTCCCCTCTCGTGATTTGGGTCTATTTATAGATAACGGAGGACGTGAAAAGACTGGAGAACTTGCTTCCTCCATGGATGATGGCAGTGAGATGGTCGGCCACCTACGACCAGTTTGTCTTTTGATCACCAGCACTGCCTCAGAGTTGCCTGTTTGTTCCAGTATGTCAGTTGCTGTGGTGAAATAAGGGTATGAGAGGTGCCAAAGTTCCAGATAAATCTGGATTCCTGAAATTGTTTGGATTTTTTACTTGACTTCAGGAGGATTGTTGAGAAGTTGCTGCATGTAAAAATAGTCTTGATATGACATGTATAAGACAAAATGATCCATGAATGTTTGTGAGTCTCCACTTTGTTTCCATGGGGTTTGAAAAGTTCAGGATGTATTTTTTTAGTTAGCAGCTCTGGGGAGGCAACAAAAGAACCTTACAGGTTTCTTTTTCTACTTTTCTGCTGTTGTTATACAGGGCATTTTGTTGAGAGAGATTTTATTTGGGGGGGGGAGGGGTGTTGGAGGGTCTGATTTTTTTAAGTTTGTATGATGAATTGGAGTACGGTACCTTATTCCTTGGTTTAAAAAATATGAATGGTTCTTTCATTCAGCTATATTTATGGCGGACTGCATATATACATATAAAGGTATAGATTGAGCCTTCTTCCAGGTCTAGGCTCATTCACTTGCTATGTTGCCTGTTCAACGTCTTATTGCCAACAGATCTGAGTATTCTGTGGTACAGTGTGCTTCCATGTCATCATCATTGTTGTCATGTCGTGCTCAAGTACGGTATATATGTGTCACAGCACCGTGGAATCGGGCGCTCGTCAATTTTTGGGCATCTGGAGTTATTGGTATCATCTTAAAGCTTGTTCATTTCACCACCTTTTGATGTAAAAAAAATACTCGTCTTTCTTGAATAGAAGTTGAGATATTTGCGAGTGAAGGAAATCAAGGTCACGTGGTTTCTGAGGTAAAATTAGTTCGAAAATGGCCAACAAAGTTTGGTGATTTCCAAAGCTTCAGAGTCCTTGGAAACAGAAAATTTACCTTTGTAGTGCCTTTAATCAATGGTTTTCAGTAAAATCCACTCTGAAACGTGTTTTTTAATGGACTTTAAAGGTGTTGAGTAAAAAAACAAATGCTCAATCAAAATTGCCAAACTTGCGGAAAAATGCCTGTTTCTCCAATTTCGTTATTTTGACGAGCGCCTGATTTCCCCACGCTGCCTCACATAGCTTTCCTATTCATCCAGCTCTCAGTTGGGACCAACAACAGATTCTACCACTCAGGATTCTGGATTCTCTGGAGTTTTTTCCAAAGGATCGTGTTTTAATTTAATTTTTTTTTAGAGGTGAAGAACAGTCTTGAACAAATGCATTACTACTCTAAAGCCTCATCAGGGTATAGACATCAATGTAATTGAAATGCAAAAACCAAGGACGTATTTGTGCTTCTAAAGATGGAGGGCAGAGAGAAAAAAACTTGCCTTTACCCCGCTCAGTCATGTTTGTTCTAAATAATAATAGTGATGTTTCTTCATGAAATGAATTGCTTCTATTTTGTAGTCGCGGAATGGTTTCAACTTGTCAGTTCCGTCTTGGAATAAAAAAGATGATGTGGGTGCCGGTGGGGCGTGTTTGTGAATCTGCCAGCTGGGAATCGAAGTTGTCAGGGGGTTTTTTGGATGCAAAATGTATGATTTATGGAGAAGATGTTGTATCATGTTGTGGCGTCGGTGGCCTAGTGGTTAGGCTCTCAGACTCGCAACCGTAAGGTCGTGGGTTGGAATTTCGTCAGGACGTTGTGTCCTTGGGAAAGGCACTTTACACAAATTTTCCTCACTTCACCCAGGTGGGAATGGGTACCCGGCTATAGACAGCGAAAGATCTTGTCAGTTTGTTAGTGTTTGAGTGCTTAATCAGCTGCTTGCACTGTATGCTTCCCGGGAAGCTGAGAATATTTGGGAGTGTTCTATGGTCTGCTGGGGTAATAATATAGTGTAAAACGCATAGAGCCTGTTGTTAAGCGGAGCTATGCGCTATACAAATGCTATTTATTATTATTATTATTATTTATTATCAAGCTTGAATACTTGAATGTAGAACTGGGGTCTTAAGAAGACGGGGTGCTTCATGCTTCCTCACCCGTCTTCATGAGGGTCCATTTCAGTGTGGGCAGGCTGATTGTCTCCATCATCAGCTGGATGTTGTAGTGTGTGATTGTCTCCATCATCAGCTGGTTGTTGTAGTGTGTGATTGTCTCTATCATCAGCTGGTTGTTGTAGTGTGTGATTGTCTCCATCATCAGCTGGTTGTTGTAGTGTCTGGGTCTCGCAGTCTGCTTCTCCTACCTTCATTAGGTTTTATCAAGCATTAGGTCACAATACTTTACTTTGAAATATTGTAGAGGTGCCTGTTTTTTTGTTTGTTTTTAAATCAATTTTAAAGGATTTTTTCAAAACGGTATTTCCAGATTTTACAACAGTTTGTGCGTCCTCCTGTGCTTTTCAAGGAAGGACATTTCCCTTTGCTTACAATTCAGTAACATGTTGTGTGGGTGGGTGGTTGGTGGGTGCTCTGGTTTGGTTTGCTTCTTCTTTCCTATCAAACATCTATCGTCCTGATCTCTCCTTCTTTTTTGTGTTTGTTACTCTCTTGTATCACTTCTAATCTTCGACACTTATATGACCTTATTGTGTTGCAAGTGCCGAAAAACTCTTACAAAAACTAACACGTTCTGATACTGAAGGGGTGTTCATGTTGTTGTTGAATGAACAGATATTTGTTTATCGCACATCTCATCATTTTGTGATCATGGTCTAAGTATTATCTCGTTTGCTTCCTCTCATCGTATTGTGATCATGGTCTAAGTATTATCTCGTTTGCTTCCTCTCATCATTTTGTGATCATGGTCTAAGTATTATCTCGTTTGTTTCCTCACACTCTCAGCTTGGCAGGTGATTGAAGCGCTTTTCTGGCAAGAGCTACTTTTTTTTCTTTCCAGACTTTGTTTCTGTCTGTCAATTTTGCTGTTTCCCAGCATTCTATGAACATCATGAATCATCGTGTCCACGTGTGTCTGTTTCATCCAGACTGACTCAACCTTTTCGCGGGGTTACCGACAGACTTGTGTTTTTCTCACAAATTATGGGTGGTCGGAGGGTGATTCTAGTTGGCTGTAGTTCTTTTAATTTTTTTTCCCAGGACACGGTGATATAATTTTTTTTTTTTTTTTTTTTTGTAAGTGTTTTACATCTCAGAAAAGACCGATCCAAAAAGGAAATTTGTGTAAAGTATCTTCCCTAAGGACAGGACATTGGACAGAGTTGAGGCTTGAACCCCGGAACATGCAATCTCATGATTACGGGTCCAATAGGCTAACTAGACCATCGACACAACGGGACTGCTTGATTCTGCGTGGTGTTGTGATTTATGGTATGGGCTAGCACCCCTGTAAACCCTGGTGTTTACTTTGAGTCAACAGAAGCACATACATTTAACACAACAGTGGTCATTTAGTGCTGAGGAATACAAGACAGACAGGAACTACAGAGAGAGAGAAAAAAGTAGAACCTACCTACAGACAGACTGACAGAAACTACAGAGGGAGAGAAAAAAGTAGGACCTACTGTTGGTACCCTCCAACCACCTGCATAAATACTCTGTAAAGTTGTTTAGAGGCGGGACCTCTTAAGTTGTTATTTTTGCCACTAGTGAGACAATTTTAACGGAGGAACCGGCTACAGATGATGTCTGTAACATTCTGTCTGTAGACGAGACATTCTCACCCCCTCCCTTAGTCCTCCAATGTTCTTATATTCGTAGATGTGGAAAATGAGTAACTTTATTTGACTTGGCTTTACAGTATGAGTAAAAATCGTCGAACTGACTCATTTTACTTGCTATGTTGCTGATGTATAGATTTTCTACTGTTTGGAAGTTGTCTGAATGTGTAACTGAATTCTGTGAAACCTTTATATTCAATAATCTTTTCAGTTACGAGAGTATGTTTGTTATTGCTTCCGTGTGTTGCAGTCGTAGTTTTCAAGGGTAGTAAGGACTGGGAACCTGGAAACTTGTACACTATCGCAAAAGTCATTATTAGAGAGTATCTAGAGTACATGCAACAGATTTTTTGCTGTTACTGATGCAACATCATTGTGTTCATTTTCTCTGTGGATATTGCTCAACTGGCTCTCTCTCTCTATATTACTCACATGAACAAACGAGAGAGACAATTTCTTCGTGACATGCTGATGTGAATCGGCCACTTTCAAGGACAAGCGGGCTAACCCAGATTTCAGTGGTTTCCAGAAATCTTGACCTACACCAAAAGTGGGCATTTCCTTACCTATAGGAGAAGTTTGGTTTGATTGGTGTGTATATTTGTTTGGTTATAGAGAAAACTCTCCTTGTCTTTTAAAGAAACTGAACACGAGGCAAAAACTTTACCCTAAATTTTCTCAAAGCATAATTTTTCGGGTTAGCCCCCTTGTGCTTAAATGCGACCAATTGTCTGTTGACGTTTTCTCACAATGAACACTAATGTCTGTGGTGGTTTGGTTTGGCTCTTTGCCACTGCTCATCAAAGGTGGGGGAGTGGGGGTGGGGGTCCTATTTCCTGTTGGGATGGTAGGGAAGTTATTTTATGGAGTGTCTCCATCTGTGTGCTGGGATGTTGTTTTGTACCCCACTCGGTCCTGATGAGCAGCGTCTGGCCGGGCTAAGACAACCTGAGCCCCCCCCCCCAGGGCAGTGCCACTGACTGAATCAGAAGTGTCTTTAGGCCATTCCCAAAGGGTGGACATTATTAACGTGCTCTTATGCACAGTAAAATTGTAAGTGAGCTGATTTATCAATGTCATGCTCATACTGTGCCGGAACAACATAGGGGGATCTGCTGCTTTTTCTTTCCTCGTCCTTACTATCGTCATTTTCCTCTACTTCTTTTGTATGTTTGTCACTCTCTTGTGAACTGCTATTTCCGGGCTGCCTTGATAGTCGAAGCAGACTTTGTGCTGTTGAGGCTAGAGAGGTGAGCAGAGTAAGCCTGATTTCCCGTTAGGACTTCTCTGTTGACCTCCACCCTTTGGCGCTCATATGACCTTATGCAGTTGCGAGCGCCGTAAAACCTCTACAAAAACTAAGTAAAACAATCTGCCTCTTGAATGGTGCAAGTTGTGCTGAAGAAAACCTACTAAAACATTGATAATCATATTTTATACATTGTTCACAAGTACATAACTAGGAATATGGAACAGGAGGCAAAGTATTGATGGCATGTAGAAGATTTCCATTATTCTGGCTTCTGAAAAAAAATAGAAGTCAGGAATTGTGAATGTTCGAGAGATTGCGTTCCCCAACAGCATTTCAACATTAATATTTTGAGAACAGTTTTTGTTCAAGAAATAAAGAATGGATCCTTTGCTTGAGGTTCGTTATATTTTGAGTAAGAGGGCTAATTCTTTACAGTAATGTCAAATTGTTCAGCTATAAAGTTTCCCCTGTATCACCTGTTACTCAGTGTGTTTCGTCTTTCAGTGTATCACGACCCGTACAAATGTTGCTTGAGAGCCTGATGATTCCCTTTGTTTTTGGACCATCGGTTCGCTTCAATGTGTTCACAACCCACTCTGTTACTGTTTTGCTTTGAAGATTCCTGTTGCTCCTGCTTATTTCCCTGTTTTATTGTTGCTATATTATTGCCTTTTTCTAGCCAAGTGACAAATTGTTGCATTTATGGTTTCTTTCCTACTCTCAAAATGTGAAGATTTTGTTGGTTATTTTATCTAATTCTATGAGAGGTTTTTGTTGTGTATTTCATGTTTTCTTTTTCCCCATTCCCCCCAAAAAATTGTTTCTTCT